ATTAAAGTATATGTGAAACCATCACTTGGTAAAACAGCCCATTCAGTTTAAAATAGAAATGAAAAGTAAAACATTTGTGTATACATAAAAAACATTATAAATGTATTTTTTCCCTTTTTTAAGTGATCACATATGGGTATGTGGGTAAGTGATCACATACTCTATGTTCTCAGTGCCCTGATGATCGGTGCCGATCCCTGCTCTGACAATTGCCGGTTCTCGGCAGTACTTTCCTCGCGCTCTGACAGCATGAGGAAAGTGCAGCCGAGAACCGGCAATTGCATTTACCGGTGATCAGCGTGTCATTGGACACTGCTGATCACGTGGTAAAAGGCTGCTGTGATTGGCCTTTTACGACATCACGTTCAGATGTGTCCGTAGGACACAGTGTTCACAGAGATCGCCAGGTGCGCACCCCCGGGGGCGCGCAGGAGAGCGCGTTCTGGGAGGACGTCATATGATGCCCTCCCAGAACTGGCCGGCTGCAGTGTAGATGTCATTTGGCTATCTGCGGTTGGCAACTAGTTAAACAAAATCCCTCCAAATTGAGGGAATACCTTTTGGTCACCCTAATGTTCCCATTGGAAGATTTCCCCTCAATGCCTGTTCAGGAGGCAATCCAAAATGTAAGATTTTCACTTTCTGTAATAAAGGTAAACAAGACAAATAGAGAGGCCAAATCTCCCAACGGAGGAAGGGGGGGGGGCTCAGTGATCAAAACCTTGCAAGTGTTCTAATCCTTCTCCAATCTATCAAAAACTAAAAAAAAAAAAATTCCTTTAGTTATACTGGACGTTAACCTTTGTGAATTGTACCCAAGTCATCAATAGGGAAAGGATCAGCTGGAGACCACAGGCAATAATGGGGACTTTGTCCTCTGCTTACCTTTTTTTGGGCGCAGCTTCCAGAGTTCAGGTCTTCTTCAAGTGTTTTCTCTGATTTCTACTTTAGCATATGTGAATATTCTACCAGAAGAATCATGATTTTTTGTTTCCCTTAAAAAATAAAACATGTATGAAAACAAGACGATGGTGGCCTATTTCATCCTTAAAGGAATTTCCGATTTCTCCAGACTGCAAGTTCTAATCTTCCTCCTGGTACTTCTAATGTATCTCATCACCATTGGTAGTAACTTGACCATCCTTCTACTGGTTTTCCTGGATTCTCAGCTCCACACTCCTATGTACTTCTTTCTATGTAACCTGTCCATTCTTGACACATGTTCTGCCACAGTCACCCTACATAAGATCCTCATTATCTTTGTAACAAGGTATAAAATAGTATCTTTTAATGAATGCATGGCGCAGGTATATATCTTCTCATGGCTATCTGGCAATGAATTGATATTGCTGACTGCCATGAGCTACGACCGTTATGTTGCCATCTGCAACCCATTGCATTATTCAACTGTCATGAGTGGTAGTGTCTGTGCCGGTTTGGCTGTATTTTGCTGGTCATTTAGTTTTCTACAGATTATTCCCGCAATGATAATGCTTTTTAAAATTGTCTTGCTACACTTCCAATATAATTAACCACTTTTTCTGTGACATTATGCCTCTAATAAGTCTTTCCTGCAGTGACACCTCCATGTTGGAACTGCTGATTTTCACAGAGGGGGTCCTACTTTGTGCCTTCACCCCTTTTCTACTCACCTTTGTCTCCTACATGTTCATCATTGCGACCATATTGAAAATTAAGTCTAGTACAGGAAGAGATCTAAAGCTTTCTACACATGCTCATCGCACATAACAGTGGTTACTCTTCACTACACAATTCTTGGCTGTCAATATTTTACAAAGTGGAACTCTCAAGTTTGGTAAACTTTTGTCTTTGGTCAACACAGCTGTGGTTCTCATGCTAAATCCCCTCATTTACAGCTTGAAAAACAAGGATGTGAAGTCAGCTCTACAACGACAACTCAAGTACTTTATGACTCAATGCCAGTCAATGGCATTCTGATTGAGAAGATTCCTATCAAGCAGTTCTTGATGATGGTTTAATAAATGCACAAACACTGGTGGTATTTAAAGTGGAACTTTAGTCAGAAAATTAAGTTCTGCTAGATCACTTCAGGCTGGCTCCTTTTGCAGGTATAGCTACAGTCATGGCCAAAAATATTGGCACCCCTGCATTTCTGTCAGATAATGCACCACTTCACCCTGAAAATTGTTCAATTACAAATGTTTAGGCATTCTCATGTTTATTCCTTTTGTTTGTATTGGTATGACACAAAAAAATGGGGAAACAAAATGAGCCACATTTCACGCAAAAAACGCAAAAATGGACTGGTCAAAACTATTTGACACCCTCAATTTAATATTTGGTAGCACACCTCTTGGAAAAAATAACTGAATTCAATGGCTTCCTGTAACCATCAATGAGTTTCCTCCACCTTTCTACTGGAATTTTGGAGTGCTCTTCTTACAGCAACTGCTCCAGGTCTCCCAGATTGGAAAGGTTCCTTTTCCCAACTGCTGTTTTGAGATCTCTCTACAGGAGCTCTATGGGATTGATATCTGGACTCATTGCTGGCCAGTTCAGTCCTCTCCAGCACTTTGTCTGAAACCATTTCTGGGTGCTTTGTGATGTGTGCTTTGAGTCATTGTCCTGCTGTAAGACCCATGACCTCTGATGGGAGACCCAACTTTCTGACACTGGGCCTTACATTACACCCCAGTATTCTTTGGTAGTCTTCAGATTTCATAATGCCATGCCAAGACATCCAGTGCCTGAAGCAGCAAAGCAACCCTAAAACATCAGTGACCCTCCACCATGTGTGACTGTAGGGACTGGATTCTTTTCTTAAAGGCCTCATTGCTTTTTCTGTTAACAGTAAAATGATGGGCTTTACCAAAAAGATGTAATTTTATTTTGTCTGTCCATATTGGCCCAAAGGGATTTTAGCTTCCTCAGGTAATTTTTGGCAAACTCCAATCTGGCTTTTTTATGTTTCTGTGTCGGCAGTGGTGTCCTCCTGGGTCTCCTACCATAGTGTCCCTTTTCATTCAGATGGCAACGTATAGTGCGAACTGACACAGTTGTACCCTGTGTCTGAAGGTAGTCTTGATTTTGTCTGGAAGTTAATCAAGGTTCTTTAACCACCATTCGAACAATCCTTCCTTGCAATCTTTGATCAAGTTTTTCTATTTCTTCCACGTCCAAGGAGATTAGCTACAGTGCCATAGGCTGTAAACGTCTTGACAATGTTGCGCACAGTGGACACAGGAACATTAAGATCTGTTGACTGATACAGGTAAGTTTAATTAAAAATTACAAGAACTTCACAAACTTGGAATGCAATTATTGGTGCCCCAATAATTTTGTCCAGTCCATTTTTGCATTTTGCATGGAATGTGTCAGATTTGGCTTTTTGTTTCTACACTTTTTGTGTCATACCAATACAAACAAAAGAAACAAACATGAGAATGCTAAAACATTTGTAATTGCAACAATTTTCTGGGCAAAGTGGTGCATTATCTGACAGAAATGCAGGGGGGGGACAAGATTTTTGGCCACAACTGTATGTAAAACATTAAAAGTAAGTGCCTATACTGTTTACAATCCAATAATACACTGTCTCACCCTGCGCTGCACATACTCAGTTGCTCTCTTTTTTTTAGGCACTGCCGAATTTGTAGAGGCCGATCTGCTGACAGCCCTAAAGTGGAATTATACCGTTCCATCCTTTAAAGTCAAGAAAACTGATTCTGTTTGTTCTGCAAATGCTATGGTACTGCACCATGTGATCAGGTATGACATCAGCCATTTGATGGTTTGGCAGTTTGGCTAAGGACACAAGCAAATGTGACAGTAAGCAATCCCGGTATTCCAGGAAAGTAACTGTTTTTTTTTTTAACCTCCCTGGTGGTATTCCTGAGTGTAGCTCGGGGTAAAGTTTCAGCACCACAAACGGTAATACCAAGCTACACTCGGGCTTACCATGCGGCGCTGCTCCGGGATCTCTTCTGCACTTACCTTGTACTGCGCTCCCGCAATGTCCCCCCTGCAGTGTCCCATATAATGTTCTCCGGCTGATGCCGGCATCTGTCTTCCGGGTTCCATCCCCTGCGAGCGTCGGGATGTATGGAGGACGGAACGGGGGAAATTTGAAAATGACAAAAAGTGACATTCACTAAAATCACATAGTAAAACATTACTGTATCAAACCATTTCACATACATTTTGTCCCGAGTGCTTTGTCCTGCGCCCTGCCTGCATTTTTACTGTTCTTTCTGCCTGGAAACTGAGAAACGTCCATGGCGTCCAAAAAGCGTCCCTTTAGGTCAAAAGCGGTTTTAGACCGGCTAGAGAACAGCGATAGTAAATCAGAACCACTTGCAGAATTGAGTGATAATGATTTGTGGGGGAAATTCGTCATCAGACACTGAAAACGATTTTGCGACTTTGCTCAGTGATGTGCGAACTTGGCGCTATATTTCAGATTTCAGTGTTTTTGGTTTGATTATATTATTGAATTAAATTTATTATTATTATATTATTATTTTTTAGGATTATTTATTAAATTATTATTTATGAATTTGTGTTTCAAATTTTATCATACCCGGGATGTTTACTAGACTCTTGTCGGGACAGATTTCAGTGAGTTATTCCTAAAAATTACAGGCCTACAAAAAAAAAATTACATATTTCCATGCAAAAAAGTACCGCTTTAAGCACAGAAATATTGACATAATCAGACCGCTAGGGGGGTTAAACCAATAAATCGATGGGTTTAGTTCTGCTTTATAATTTACTGCTGTTCAGGGGCTCTGGGCTTCAGCAAAATGGCCGCCTGCAGCAAGAAGAAACAGGAATGATGCTGGAGGCAATTTACAGCACACACTAATAATATTACATATGTATTACATGGTCCTTGCTAAAGAACATTATTTTTTTATCAAGTTGTGGGTAAAGTTCCGCTTTAACCGCCTCCTGCCCGCCATAGTAATAGTAATATGATGGACACAAGGTGGTTCTCTTGTTCTGGGAGGACGTCATATGACGTCCTCCCATTCTAACCGTGCATGCACGGCTCCCGGAACGCGGCGATCGGTGGTGCACTGTGTCCATCGGACACAGCGAATCACCGATCCACGGAAAGAGCCGAAGATGTTGGCTCGGTAATGTGATCAGCTGTGTCCAATCACAGCTGATCACATGTAAACAGGGAAATGCCGGTTATCGGCATTCGTCTCCTCACGAGCAGTCACGCTAACAGCTCGTGAGGCGAGGAGAGCCGGTAATCGGCATTCCTCGGAGGGGACATGTACACAGATCATCAAAAAGCATGGATGATCAGTGTGCCCTGATGATCAGTGTGGCCCCCCAGCAGCGCCACCTGTCAGTGTCCATCAGTGCCAGCTCTCAGTGCTCATCCATGCCACCTGCCAATGCCCATCAGTGCCACATTTCAGTGCCACATATCAGTGCCCATCTGAGCTGCCTTTCAGTGTGTCAGTGCCACCTATCAATGCCAGTCAGTGCCACCTATCAGTGCTGCCAGTGCCATATCAGTGCCCAGTCAGTGTAGCCTATCAATGTGCATCAGTGTGCCTATCAGTGCCACCTAACAGTGCCAGTCAGTGCCGCCTATCAGTGCCATATATGAGTGCTGCCTTTCAGTGCTCATCAGTGATACTTGTCAATGTCAATGCCCATCAGTGCCTCCTCATCAGTGCCAGTGCCACCTATCAGTGTCCATCAGTGCAGCCTATCAGTGCCCATCACTGCAGCCTCATTAGCGCACATCAGTGAAGGAGAAAAATCACTTATTTACAAAATTGTATAACAAAAACGAAGAAAAAACTTTTTTAATCAAAATTTTCAGTGGTTTTTGGTTTGTTTAAGAAAAAATAAAAAAACCCAGAGGTGATTAAATACCACCAAAATAAAGCTCTATCTGTAACAGATAAAAAAAATTATAAAAATTTCATAAGGGTACAATGTTGCATGACCGCGCAATTGTCATTCAAAGTGCAACAGCGCTGAAAGCTGGACATTGGCCTGGGCAGGAAGGGGTATAAGTGCCCTGTAGACTAGTGGTTAATTAAAGAAAATTAAAGCCAATTTTTCAGTAACTTTACAACTCAGTATTATTAAAGCAGAAGTAAAGTCTCTCAATCAACAATAAAGCCGAGCTCCAGTCAAAATGAAAAAAAAAAAAATAGAGGTCAGCAGCTACAAAAACTGTAGCTGCTGACTTTTAAAAAACAGCCAATCACCTATCCCTTGATCCTGCGGTGTTCTCACACCGGCCGTCCTGTGTTCGCGGCATCTTCACTGTGGTCACCCGGCCATGACAACTTGTGACTTGCGCAAGTAGCGCTGCCTTTTGCAAATAGTCCCGTAGTGTTCTGGGAACTGTCACGTGTCCCAGAAGACTAAAGGGAGGGAGGGGGGAGGAAAACTTCCATTTTCAATTGCCAAATTTGGGTCCCCCCCCCCACTCCCCAAAAGTGCCAATCCTTAACAGGGAGTGGGGGATGAAGCTTTAAAGCAGAACTTCCCATTTTGGATGGACCTCCACTTTAACTATTTTAATCCTTATGCTGCTAGCATTAGTGAATAAATAAGAAGATATACACGGCTCAAAAAAATTAAAGGAAGACTTTTTACTCAGAGTCTAGCATCAAGTCAATGAAACTCCAGGGATATTGATCTGGTCAGCTAAGTAGCAGAGGGGGTTGTTAATCAGTTTCAGCTTAATGAAATTAACAACAAGTGCACTAGATGGGCAACAATGAGACGACTCCCAAAACAAGTATGGTTTTACAGGTGGAGGACACTGACATTTTTTCCATACTCATCTTTTCTGACTGATTTTTACTAGGTTTGCAGTTGGCTAGGGTCAGTGTCACTACTGGTAGCATGAGGCAATACCTGGACCCTAAAGAGGTTGCACAGGCAGTCCAACTCCTCCAGCATGGAACATCAATATGTGCCATTGCCAGAAGGTTTGCTGTGTCTCCCAGCACAATCTCAAGAGCATGGAGGAGATTCCAGGAGACAGGCAGTTACTCTAGGAGAGCTGGACAGTGCCATAAAAGGTCTGTAACCCCATCAGTAGGACCGGTATGTGCTCCTTTGTGTAAGGAGGAACAGGATGAGCACTGCCAGAGCCCTACAAAATGACCTTCAGCAGGCCACTGGTGTGAATGTCTCTGACCAAACAATCAGAAACAGACTTCATGAGGGTGGCCTGAGGGACAAACATCCTCTAGTGGGCTCTGTGCTCACTGCCAGGCACCATAGAGCTCAACTGGCATCTTCCATTGAACACCAGAATTGGCAGGTCCTCCACTGGCGCCCTGTGCTTTTCACAGATGAGAGCAGGTTCACCCTGAGCACAGTGACAGATGAAAGGAACTGGAGAAGCCGTGGAGAACGTTATGCTGCCTGTAACATCATTCTGCATGACTGTTTTGGTGGTGGGTCAGTGATGGTCTGAGAAGGCATATCCATGGGAGGACGCACAGACCTCTACAGCCTAGACAATGATACCCATTAGGTATCGGCATGAAATCCTTGGACCCATTGTCAGACCGTATGCTGGTGCAGTGGGTCCTGGGTTCCTCCTGGTGCAGTGGATCCTGGGTTCCTCCTGGTGCACGACAATGCCCGGCCTCATGTGGCGAACGTATGCAGGCAGTTTCTGGAGGATGAAGGAATTGATAAAATTGAATGGCCCCCATGCTCGCCTGACCTAAATTCAATATAACACCTCTGGGATATCATGTTTCGGTCCATCCGCCGCCGCCAGGTTGCACCTCAGACTGGAAAGGAGCTCAGTGATGCCCTGGTCCAGATCTGGGAGGAAATACCCCAGGACACCATCCCATGTCTCATTAGGATCAATTGTCAGGCATGCATACAAGCACGTGGGGGCCATAGAAACTACTGAGTACCATTTTCAGTTGCTGCAATGACATTTCAGCAAAATGGACTCGCCTGCTGCATCATTTTCTCACTTTGATTTTCGGGGTGTCTTTGATGGGGCATTCTTACGTTCCTAACACATTACCCGTCCATGTCAGTATAGAGATCCAGCAGGAGGTTTTTCCCCATTGAGATCTGATGTGTTTTCAAACTGTTCCTTTCATTTTTTGAGCAGTGTATTATATTTAATTGTTTTAACCTTTTTTTTTTTTTTCATTTCTTCAGTTGTTTCCTGGTTGCTGGCCTATGCCAAAATGATTTCATACATCCCTGGATTTTATTTTTTCCTTTCATTTCCTGTCTAAAAAGCAAAGCACCAAGAAAAGAGATTTTTTTTTTATTGGGATATGAAGCAAAGACATATTTTTGGACTGTAAAAAAAAACCTCTAACATTCCAGTGGTTATATAATAATTTGCTCTCAAAATGCAGCTTCTGCTACAGAAGTCATCACATGTTGAAGATGCTTTAATTTTTAGTGAGGCACCCTCCTAGTTAGCTGGCTGGTGATAGCTGATTATTTATTAGTTAGAAAGGTTGAGTAGCAGCCTGGGCAATAGTCAGTTGGGTCAGGGCTGAGAGGCTCAGCAGATCAGTAACTTGAAACTTGTCCCTGCTCTAGAATCTTGGAGATTTTAAAAGCAGTGGGTGGGGGTGAGGAGGGGCTGGTCTGCACTCTTAAGGGATCCTGACCAGTCATCAAGCAGGTTTGTCATGGGGTCAGAACAGCCCTTAAAAGTGGTTGAGCCTGCTCAGTGGCAGGGAGAGTTTGGGTGGTAGATGTGAGGAAGCTGGGCCAGGAATCCCTGGGAGTGAGGGGACCTGGGAGGGGGCCCAGTGGGAAGGGGCCTACCTACAGGAAGGGCACTGGAAAGGAGGATCACTCAGCCTCACTGGCCCCCAGAGCGAGGACCACCTGTAGAGCCAGAAAAAGGAGTCAGTCCAGCGGAAGGCCTAATGGCAGCCAACTATGTAAACCTGCTCACAGGACTGAGACTGATTGAGTAGTCCTACACCCCGTGGACCAGTTAAGGGAAAAAGAGCATTCTGGTGGGAAACCTGATAAGCTCCTTACCCGGGACTGTTTAATTTAAAGTGGCAGGCACTGGATTCCCTTGCCCAGGGATTCCCTCAGGCAGCTGGAAAAGAAGAGGATTATCTGGGGTCTCGGGCGGTACACCCGGAGAGGCTGGAGAGCTCTCGAAGAAGAGTTTCTACTGAGTAAAGACTTGTACATAGTTGCTAAGGAGTTCATCCTTGGTTTGTAGTTTCATTGGGCATCCCATACACCCCTTTCCCCATCCAAGTTTAACACCCCTTAATAAAACATAAAACCAAGCTCAAGGACTGTTTACTGACTCTGAATGCAAGTCTGTGACAAATGCGTGTTGCCTGGCTGTGCAGGACTATAGTCAGGCCTCATGTCCACAACCAAACATAGGATTCCATGAAGGACCTTTCTCATTTCAGTTTGCTGTATTTGCTACAGTAGGCCAAGTATGCGGTTTAGAGAAAGTCCAATGCTTTCAGTGGTCTATGTTAACAGCAGCATGTTGCTTTGAGATGTATTGGGGAAACACTCTATATGTTTCCCTTTTGGAATTTGCCAGTAACAGTACCTCCTGTTGAACACTGACATCCCTAAGCCAATGCACCGCAACTAACAGCAGCATTGTCAACCTGCCTTGCAAGCACATTCAGTTGTCAGTTCGGCTGCCTATCCAATAGACTTAACAGTCAGAAAAATGGCTAACTGAAGAAGCGCATGTTGGGGGGTGGCCAGCTGCCTCGTGTTGTGGCTATAGCAAACAGCTGAGCCAACCCCCCAATGTAAAACTGACCTTCAGAGCAATACGATACCTTTGCCCATGATTCTTCCCAATGTGCAGGTGGCAGGCAGAGACCGACTCCACAATCCACCCTCCAGGCTGTGCGCCTTCCCCCCCCTCACTCCCAGGGATTCCTATCTTTCTAAGGCCCAACAACCAGGGGACATCAGTGGAATTCACTCTCACTCTCTTCAGAGTAGCATTCTGACCGAATAAAAGCACCACAAGGCTGGATGTGGTTAACATCTTTACTTGAAAGTCTCAATCAATAACATGGCTCCAGTGGGTCACAGACTCCAACACAGTTCCAACAGCAATATGGACTCTTGGCACTGGGCCCTGCCGGTTGTTGCTCAGATCCCTGCAGAAAGGTACTCACTCCTTGTAGGCCTGTTACTCTTCCTGGGCTAGGGAGGGGAGGGACTGAGGGGTAGATCAATTTCCAAAGTCCTCTCCTGGGCATGCACCCGGAGAACAGGTGTCAGCAGATGGATGTTGCCTCTCTCTGCAGTCTGGCCCACCTCCCTCCTAGGTCCTGCCCAGACTCCCAGCCTTCTTCTAGGGGAGGGTGCACCTTAAGAGGGAACCTACGTTACCACCTGCCAACACGCACATGGCAGGCCAAAAAACACTGCTGCTAATTGCAAGGCATCAACTTAGCTTTGTTAGCTTTCAAAAAAGAAGTGCTGTTCCTGGCAGGATTACCAGATAAGAAACTTTGCAACACATTTCCAAAAAATTAATGTGCTTCAAGTGGTTCTAAAGTCTATAGTTTTTTAATGCATACTCTGCATTAAGGTAGAATAGTTGAAAGAAACCCTAACCAAAAAAAAACTAATGGGGCTTTAAAGGTACCACACCATATCAATACAAGTGAAATAGAAACGTGAGAACAATAGATATCGATATTGATATGGTGTGGTACCTTTAAAGCCCCATTCGTTTTTTGGGGGTTTTTTGGTTAGGGTTTCTTTCAACTATTTTCCATAGAGGTTTGGTACCAGTCAGGGGCGGACTGACAACTCATGGGGCCCCTGGGCAATAGGGGATCATGGGGCCCCTGTGTCCTCACCCACACCCAAAAAAGCCTATG